TTCCACGCATACAGAAAGATAATTAATATAAGATGACGTGATATGCGCACATCTTTTGTCAGTTTCAAAGCGTTAAAAAGTTGATTAATTGACTTTGGAGTTAGAATAGTTTAAATGGTAACATTGGTGTGACACGCTGCATTTAAATACTAAAACTGTGCCTTCAGTACTGCTATTTATTTTTATTATTTTGTTGAAGGTTCATAGTTATCTGAGTCTGCAGTAGTGTATGTAAATAGAATATAAAATAAGCAAACAAATAAACTATTAACACTATAAAAAGACACTAGTGCCATTTAACGCATTAACCTCAAGAGGTCATCACATCATCAATGGCAATAGGGAAATTAATTCATTTAATCAAAATGGTACTAGTGTCTTTTTTGTAGTGTTGATAGTTTGTTTGTTTGCTTATTTTATAATCTGATACACTACATGGTATGCAAAGTTTTAAGTATGTAAATAGGTTGTGCTAATATATCGTTAAAATGTTACATTGCACTTTAAAATCTGCTGCATCATACTAATCTGTACTTTGAGAAAGAGACTGTGGCCACATATTTTTGTCATGTCTTAGATATACAGTGGGTGTGATATTTTTGTAAGTTTTTATTGATGTAAAAGCAGCTCCTAGTTGGACACTCATCTTAAGGAGGGATAGTGAATTTTTTAGCCTAGGAGCTGTTTTTCTAATGATTTCTTCTGATACTATGTTCCTCATAAGCAGTGGATTTTAAAAGTCTCTCATAATGAATTATCTGGAAGGCACCTGCCTTGCAGGACATTCTTGGGACATAAATACGAAAGAAAGACATAAATTATTTGTGTAACATTTTTCCAGCAGCTTGTTCAAGTGAGATGAAATGGTCAACTGGGACCTCAAAATTTAATATACTCACATACAATCCAAAACACATGGTTATTTTTAAATCCACAAAATGCAAATGCATTTCACATAGTTCGTCACAATATTGTAAGACTTGACACAAATTTCTCCTTATTGCAACAAATGCCTTAGTCCTGGCATTCTCTGTTCAATATCAGACAACAGAACCTGTTTCTGTTCGGTGTGAGAATGATATATTTCATTTTGTATCTCTCCAAATCTTACTAAAGGACTGTAAATCTAATTCTGCTTCGACATATTAATACCTCAATGTGCATTACATTTATTCACTTCAACCAGGAAATTTCTTGTGGGAAATGAATTTTTCCTGTTTACTAACTTTTGGGTTTCATGAACCATGATGTATTGTGTAGACATTTCCAAATTTGAAATACAGTGGAACATCGATGTACCGCACCTCATTGTACCGTGGCTGTGATTATGTCCCCAAATACTGTTACGTATGTTTTACGTATAACGCGGGTACTGAAGCTGTCCCCCGAAACCCGCATTATATCGAGGTTCCGCTGTATTTTGTGTGAGAACAGTGAAACATATTTACACCTCAGATCAGAAACAGTATCTTGTGTCAGACCTTGGCCAGGTTACTGAACATGTCATCAAAGCATTGCTGCTTGCCTGACATATAATAAAGCAGTGTAATGGACATTATGCCCCTCACCATTATAAGTGGCATCTTTCTGGTATTTAAATCTTTACTGCGTGTCATGTGAGACAGTGTGACACTATTCCAAAATAATGTTTCCAGGTCTACCTTTGTATGTAGAAATGTGAACTGGAAGCAGAAGAAACAACAAATCAGAATCCAACATAAAAGTAAGGCTGCAAGAATATTTTCCACGAAATATGCAATGAAATTTGGCCCTAAGCATGTAAAAGAAATCAAATGTATCATAATTGTTATTTTAAAATTGATTTTTTTATTTGTTTTGCCATGTATTACTTTTGTGATACAGAAGTGCAACTTAACTGTCTTCTGGGTTGTAGCGCCATGTAGTCTGGTAGTTCACCAATATTTCAGAGGACCTTTCTGCCTCCATTATCAGTACTTTGCAACTTAACTGCCCATGTGAAAGTCATTGTTTCTGTATAAAAATACTTCGAATTCATAAACATGGTAAACAGTAAAAATTTACAGGGATGTGTTCAAAGTTTAAATTATTGTATATTTTGTATTTTATTTTGTCTTGTTTTTATTCTGTGGGAGGGAAGAATTAGAAACTACTTAAAGTGATAATAAAATTAAGCTACTTAAGAATATTTCTCTATTGTTCCCTTACACCCTTCATTAAAGGTACCAATCCTTCTGGCTTGTTTATAATTATAAAATTAAGCTTCTCGAGGATACTTCTATGTTGCTCCGGTCACATCTTTCATTAAGGACATCATTTCTCCTGGTTGGTTCATGATTTTCCATTTGTCTAATTATATCTTCAGATTCATAATTAATGGTTCCATTACTGGCAACTCTATCATTATTCGTGGGTTAATTTTCTGTTTTGAGGTTTATTTATACTGTAAATACAATAATGGTAATAGTGTAACAATCTTCACAACTTACGTGGTTTTCCTCACTCCCTCCAGGCACGTGCCAGGATAGTACTTTAAATTAAGCCACAACCATTTCCTTCCATATCCTTTCCAATTCATTATATATTAATCAGCCAATGTTATATAGTATGACAGTGTCATTAAGTAAACCAAACGTAAGTAATAAATACATTCCCTTTCTCTCTACAACAATTTTTAGTGTATGTATCTGATCACATGTTCTGTAAAATTTCCAGATAATGTTTTGGAGAACCTGGTGCAGGAAGCGAGTTAACACAGCTGCAATGCCTGTTATTCACATACCTGTTTCATATTGGTGTGGCTGTTTGATCCTTCCTTTCTAATGTGGGGTTCAGCCCGTTGCCAGGTACCGATGAAGTCCGAACTCCAGTCGCCTGATTGTCGAAATGCTATAAATAAAGGACCGTAGTCTGATCTATGTAGTCATGATGAGGTAGGATGATGGTGGGCTGAAAAAAAACAAGTGCTGCTCAGATTGCATGAGGAAATGTAAGTTCTCACACTGAAGTGTACAAGTGTTGAAAGTTTGATTATTGTTCGCGACTGTAATCTTGAGACTTGCAAGGAAGTCCGAAGCGTTAAAGGCAGATGCTATCTTTCCTCCTTCGCTCCACTTCCTCACCCCGCAAGTCTCAAGATTACAGTCGCGAACTATAGGTATATCTCAAACATAGTAACTCGCGAAACGTTAGGATGTGATATGATAATTTGAAAGTCTTTGTTCTAATCATTTATAATGTTCTGTGGTCATAACTAATGAATGTGAACTTTTGAAGACTCGCGTAATGACCCCTTCATAATGTTTCGGATCCAAACGTTCGAAACTTAGAAGAGTATTTTTGGTTGCCTCAAGGAGTCGTCCTTCTGAGCGAAATCGAACTTTTGGCTGTCACAGAGAGATGTGCCTGGTCAAGTTTACCGTTTCTGAGGGCAGCCTTGCGTCTGACGTACAAAACTCAAACTTTTCAAAATCAAAACAATGCAGATAGCTGCCCGGGAGGAAACGAGCTGCTGATGACGTAAATTTCATTCACTCCCCCAATTTCTGTGCCGAATAAGCAAATAAAATGGTCGTACATAAGTTTTTATCTTTGTGTTGCTATGTTTACATGCACAATACTAATCTTTGCAATTTTGTAACATTATTCTGGAACTTTGTGTGTTCGTTCCCTGTACATTTGTTATAGTACAAATTTGTGACCCATATCCCCACCCCCAAATGGTTCTGTAACATTTATTTTCTCGTGTATCGTGATCCTTTAACTTTGCGTATTCACTTCAAATCAGGGCGTTAGAATTCCATTTACGTTGCTCCATGAACGTTCCAGCAACATTGTAGTTAATTATTCTTATGAGTTTTTCTTTATCTGGAAATTCAGTGCTCAAGGTCACCAAGTAATACACATGATACAGGTTTCTAAAACATTTCCTTTTCCATACATGGAACACCTTATTAAAAAAATTTATACAGCTTGTAAACAAGTTCTAAACGATCCAGTTCTCAGAAGTTATGCCGTGTTCTTTCCTTAACGGGAATTCCAAGTATGACCTGACGTAAACAAAAACGAGCGATGCACCACATATATTAAAACGTGGACAGAGGGGCTTCAAGTCACCACTCAGCTCCGGTCAAGACTGCTACAGGTATGTTTGTTTTATATATCGAAATATGTAGTCACTAGATGATATACACAATACAATAATTACTGTGCAGACAGTAATTAGTGCCTCTTGTTGAACTTACTACTTGTTAAACGGTTTTAGGTTCTTGTCCTTAGATTTTCGCGGCTGGTGTTTATGACAGTTTTTGCTTTTGGGTATGGACCGCGAATGTTTGGAAAGGCGAGGATTTGCTAGAATGTGGCCGTAGCTGTTTGAAAAAGTACTGTTCTGGCATACTGCTAGAGAGACGGAGGAAAGTCTGACCGACTGTCCTGGTAGGTTTCTTGTGTATCATTCGTTCTGTACTTACCTTTCGACGTCTTGTCACGTAGCAGTAAAGAAATCATCGTCAAGTGAACCGAGAAAAAATCTTTCAGAACCCCCGACTTGGCTGGTCTCAGAGTAATGGTAGTTTCAGTTTAGCAGGGAAACATTTAGGCGGACGGGCATTATGCAAATTTGTGAAGAGCAGCAATTCTGTGAATTTAAATAATCCCATATTTTTGTAAAAATTGTGCGAAGAAATACACGTTACAATATGTATAACAATGTGTTATGTAAAAACAACAGTCGAATTGACCTTATCAATAACCGAGGTAACTGCAAACTATGTTTTTCTTTGCCTCTGAGGGCAAACTATGTGAAAAGAAAAATATGGCGCATGTCTTTTGAGATATTCAAAGACCTTCGGATATGCCGAGTACATTCTCTTCGTGGGAGCTGCAGTCTTGCAGTGCTGGTGATAGAAGGATTGGGGTTGCGTAGTAACGAAAGGTTTAGTAGTTGGCTTTTGCAACGTCTTAGGTGATCTAGTGTATGAGATTGTGAAGTTCACAATCCTAGGTCGACAGCAAAATGAATGTATTGAAGGACGGTTGGAATAACTTGTGTTGAAACAAAGTTCGTTATGTAGGACCTGTTTCTCCTTTCGTGTTACAGCATAAGCTAAATGGCGAAGCTCTGCGTAATGTTGTTCCTGGCTTGTGCGCTGCTAGTGCTCGTCACAGCGCAAAGGGGATGTCCTCCGATTCGACCCGGCAGTGTTGGAGTTTGTGGTGGCACTTTCTGCTCTAGTAATCGTGACTGCAACGGGGGGTTGTGTTGCCCCAGTGCTTGTGGAGGAAAACTCTGCATACCACGTCGAGGTTAACTGGTACTATTGGTAAGTGAACACAATGTTATTGGCCAACAATTTTCGAAAGTTCTTGAAATGTCCTTACTGTGCTTTAACCTGAGGATATCTAGTATTGTCCATTTGCTGATTTTAATCAGATCCTCGATAGTTTAATTCACATGGGTCTAATGGTCAAAGATGTAAGCAGTATTTGAAATGAAGGATAAAAAAGTGTTACTTTTAAGTATTACATATATTTATTAATGCATTGTGGTCAAGAAGAGATATTTTACAAAATTTATAAACATACCAAATGTATTTTAGTGAAGTGTGTTAAAAGATGACTCAGTGACCTCCGGCAGGGATATTGAGTTTTGTTCAATGTTCAGATCATCCATGTGGGTCTACAATTCAGAAGCATGGTTCTTACACACCGTGGCTGTCTCCTGTATTTCCACACAGTTTATCATGAAGTTTCTTTGGAACTGCACAAATTGCATTTCATAATAGTCATCCTTACCCCTCTTTCAGGAACAGGCAGCAAGCATCAAGCCAGCTCAGAAGATTCAAGATGTGTGTGGCTGGATACAGGTGCAGAAATTTGTATTTCATAGGTCATTGTATAATTCTGTTGAGATTAGCATGCTAGCAATTTTTTTTACTTAAATATTTGTTTTAATTCCATTCAGTCTTAAGAAATGTATTTTATAACTACATTAATGAATAAATATTACAAAAGGCTATAAGTAACACTGATATTAAATAATTTAATATATATTTCATATATTCCATCATCTTCAGGCACTAAAATGTGGTAATGGTAGTTCCACTTATTTTAACTGTCATATTGAACAATATTAAGCATGTGACAAAAGTGACTGCATGAATCTAAGCAGTGTTGCTTATGTTCATGCATTCATCATGTTGTAATTATTGATTGTAGGAAATTAAAAAGAATGAGATTGGGGAGGCCTCTTAAATACATAATGTTCATTTCATGAAAATAAGTAGTTAGGACACAGCACAGTGACCTCATAATCCTATTTCTTTAAGGAGGTGAAATGCAGCCAGATGAGATGGCCTTCAATGCCATGGTGTTCATATGAATTATCAAGTAGAATATTGACATCCATTACTGAATCAATAGACATAAGGACAGACAAACAGTTGTTTAATATGGCTCTATAGAAGGAACTCTAAAAAATAAAGGAAAAAAGATCAGAAGCATAACACTATGGAATATAAGTGGGACTTATTTTCTTGCAGGAGCTATTACTACTCAAGTCTAATTTCTCTGGGGGTCTAAGGACCATCGACTCCAATAAAAATTTTACTGACCCTTATAGGAGAGACCCAGTTCTAGGATTGCACAGTAGATGAAGCCTAGTCATGAAGCTATGTAACATTAAGCCAATACCACCATCATCATTTTCTGTTTTCATTGTGTTATAAAGATGTAACATTCTGAATAAGATCTGACCTCCTCAACCTAACCTTATATAGGTAATGTCAAATGTTGAGAAATAAAATGATACAGAAGCAAAATTAACTTTAATTGTACAGGAATTTTGGACTGATATAGTAGTATTATGGGGCTGTCAAACAGACTAGCTCTGGCGTTAATGATTTATCGTTATGCTACCGCAATGTATGGCAATTTGGACTGTGGATAGGTATGTCACAGACACAATAAAGGAAATAAAGTGGACTTGTCTGGTATATTATATAAGTCAAAACATGAACAATTAATCATAATTCACTTTAATCAACAAGAGGAATCATTTTAGCAGTATTACACTCAAGAACAAAACCGTGTAAATGGTTGTATCACAAAGAATCAAAAAATAAATAAATAAACCACTGTTTAAAAAACATTATACAGCCTTGTATAAATATTTTTATTGACGCCATAAAGAATCCTACAATTACAGCCATGATCACAAACAGTTCTGTTGCTATCAGACTGTGCCAAGTGAGGAGATCATGACTATAAATGTATTAGCTAAATTAATTTTACTTAAAATGATTCACTCTACTTCTTAATACATCAGTCAATGGCTGAAAATTACATTAAATTTGTCTGTGTTCAGAGTCACAAGCATACATTCATTTTTAATATATCACACTTATCATTGACAAGCTTTAATTTCTGGCTAAATTGTAATCTCATTTTGCTATTTATGCTGCTTCATCACAACTTCATGCTAGAAAGCCTCACATTAACTACTGTATTTCACTGTTGCCATCTCAAATTAACAATTCTTAAATCTTGTTCATTCCTTGAGGATCAGAATTAGTTCTTTTTAGCTATTAGATGTTTATGACACATTTTTATTCTGTTAAAGAATTCTGCCCATTCCTGTGGAGAAAATATAAATGTTTCAATGGCAACACAGCTGAGATTTGTTAGTATGTGACCAGACCACCTTCCATTTGGCTAATCCACATAGAGTAAATTTGTTATATTTTGATCATGTGCAAATGTGAAAACTACAAGCGGCTGTTATGATCCCACAGCAATTTGGTTTGTAACATATCACTTAATACATAGGCCTATTTCATACTATTCCACTATGAGAACTGATAATACCTCATTACCACATCAGTCAGTTTTATGCAAGTCTTTCACTTTACAACTATCCCTTGCACAATGATGACACCTTTGCCTACACTATCATATTCTTCAGAAGAGTCTACCGTAACGAATTTAAGACAGCAATTTTAAAGAATTCTATAAACATAAAATATAGACAAAACTGCAGACTTATTTACTTCTTGTGCTAGTTTTCTTTTCTAAATCATCTCCTAGACGTGAGTAATAATAACCAAATAAGAATTAACACAGTGAAATTCATCATCTGTAAATTTTATTGCATTAATAAAAAAACATGCTAAGATGCTATATAATTGTTTTATTACTAATTAGGCACTGTATCACTAAAGCTACTGGGTTAGTGCTAACATAAGAATGGAAGTCAGGTGTGAGCATTTACTATTGTAAGAAATTAGTGGCAAATATAAGAGTTTGTTGAACTTTGATCTAATCGACAAACATTACTATTTTACCTTAATTACAGATTTTCAATGAATAAGGTAAAACCACTTAAGTTGCAGTAATTAATAATAATGGTAGTGGTGCTGAAATGGAGACTCTTTCTGCAATGCAAACTGTAGCTGCCAACAATGAAATATTACGATTAAGAATGTAACTCCTCATAAATGTGAAATATCAAAAGAGAACCTGAAAAGAGAAATAACATTAAACCAAAAACCGATAACAGGACAGACATCATGTGCATATAAAAAATTCATTCATGATCAGTATTTAGAAAGGGAAGTGCAATATATATACACCTCACTATGTTAAACACAAAACAGTATAAGAAGCTTTCCATACACTATAGTTATCTCATAAGGACTTCAGAAAAACAATGAAAACAGGTCTGAATAGAAATAATCAGTTTACCATATCCTTCTGTCTTTACATACTTCAACAATTCTGACTGTAAAGCATTTTTCCTTTGTGTAGAGCCAGGGATGTTTCTCCAGTGGCTACAGTTGTTAAGTGGGTGAAAGAAGGATGTTGACTTGGTGCTATCTCACGAAAATATCAACACAGCCCCCACACCCCCTTATCACATCACTTCATCTACGTATTGCTTGAAACCTTCTTTGTTGTAAAATATACCAGTTGTAGGATCATAATTGTAACAAAATAACAATGGAACACTGCAACTTTGTGTAACTGTACTGACTCCAAAGGAAACAAAAGTTTTTATCAACAATATTTTAAAATAACAAGTGGTAAATATAATAAATATTAATATTTAGTCCACTCTTCTTCACACACATGGTGAAGGTATAGGATTCTTTTTCATTTCCCTCCATTATGACTGAAATTTAATCAGCTGGACTTAAAATTTAGTGTGGCATCAGCTAACTCTGAAATCAGAACTGATTAAAAAAACAGGAAGTAAACTGCCTTTCACACTATGGGTTTTTCAAGCAAGTCTATCCTAAAGGCATTATCTTTTCAGTAATCCCGAGAATAAAATTAGCGGTGTAAATCAGTCCTTATAAAGCAATGTTCATTTTTTTCATTTGGTATAGACTTGGCCACTGTTTTGATCACCATCGTGTTCCACATAACCGAACATGGTGCTTCACTCAGATTTCAGTTATGAGAATACGCAAATTAAATACTTCATTAGTAAAGCAGATGTAAAATTCAAAATAGTTTCAACTCTACAACTTCTACTAGAATTAATAGTTAAGTTTTACATGGCCCAGAACTCTCATCGTGCATCTCATTCTAATCCATCTTTGAATACGTCTTCTATGCTAATTGTAAGTTAAAATCTAGTTTTTATAACTCATCAGATGTACTAAACAAGGAAAAAGCTCAGCCATTGTTTTCATAACTAATATATATGTCTTTATTATGTAGGAAAATTTGATGTTAATTTTTTTTTATCTTCCTGTGAAAATTAAACAATTAAACACAAAAATAAATTAGCAGAAGTCAGTATCTTAAAAGGTTTGATCAAAGTAAATATATTATGCTACCTGGTACAGATTACAGATTTGTAAAGTCCTGCAGATTACAACCTATATTTCTCTTTGTCCAAAGTTTAAATTCTTGCAGAAATATTAAAATAAATCATATTAAATATAAGCTTTCTACATATGTTCAGATACTAACAGTCTTCTATTATGTTTTCATGTTTCCACTTTATTAAAAATATACAACAAAACCAATAATTTCACTTCTGTCTTTGAACAATTATGTAACCATTTCTTTTGATGTCACAACTACCTTTCATAGTACTTAAAATTTCAATACCAATAAATACTTGAACCTGTCTAGAAACTCCAGTGATACAGCACTCCTAGTTAACGAAAACTGCAGGCATCACTTGCAATTCAAAATAGACAAACTTCAGGGATACAAAGTTCTTAATGTATGCATATTACATTACAGTCACTTGTCTGATAGGTACGGTTAAAAAAAACATTTAATAACATGGTTATGAAATTCAGGTAACAGTGATGATATTTTAATATTGGTATTCATGGCAGTAATACTATTATTATTCAGTATTTACTAGATTACCATTGAGCAAAACTATTTATTATATGTATTTTCCACACGTTTTAGGTAGTATAACCAATCGTAAGGGGATTTACACTATATAATCAAAGTATGATTTTTTACAACTACAATATATATATATATACATATACATTCACATATTTTCTTGTTATTGTATATCTATTCCTTTTGTTTCAATACTGTCATTTGGTGTTGAAGTTGACATTCTTATACATTATGTAGTATTCATAAGATACCATTTTGATTCTTGTTTTATTTCCCCACTGTCACATTCCTTATGATTCCCATCATTATTTTTTTTATTGCTGCTGCATTCAGTACCTGCCACTTATAGCCGAGTCAAATTTTCCAGTAACGAACTTTCCCTTATGAATAATATATTATGCAGTGATTAAATAAACTGCCTCACTTATATGAACACTTTGTGTATGTTGCTGAGAAATCCACTATAATTCCAAATTGTCAGAAAAATCTAATTTCCTGTTCAATCCTAGTATTTTGGTTGAGTAAGTTAAACCACAGCTCCTGCCAGTTTCACTCTTGGTAACATTTACTTCATCACAAGCCTTTTTAAATCAAACTTACATTTTTTTTTTAAGAAACTGTACATGGGGATGGCTATCTACATAATTACATATTTGTAAGGGAGAGTTCTTTAGTGCAGCATGACTGGAGTGTGATAACTGGCAAGCACTGCATGGAGCAGCAAAATAGAAAGAATGTTGGAGGGAACCAGATATGTGAGGAAACAATGTAAGAATGTAAACAGTATATAAAAATATTAACTTCAGCAGTAAATAATAATATGAAAATAAAAGAAGCAAGAAACAAAAGGAATAGATGTATAATAACAAGAAAAATATATATTTTTAAATGTAAAATTTCATTCTAAAAATCACACATAAAACTTTTTATAACTTTAATATATAAAATGAATTCTATGAAGATGTCTGAAAGTGGTCAAAACCTGTGGTGAAGATGTATGTAATAAGCAGTTGAATTTTAAGGTGTTAATGAAGTAAATACTGAACAGTAATGATAAACTGCAGAATAGTAAAATATAAATTTCTGTGGGTAGGCATTCTAATAAGACCCAGAGCTTCGTTCTGCAAGTGGCAATTGTCAATATAAATCCCCAAAAGAAGTCTGAAATACTTCACGTTGAAGCCACACTTCATAGTGCTGTTTGAAGTAATCAGTCAGTTCAAAGGGCTGTCCCAAGACACTAGTAATACAATGGTCTGATGGTTCAAAGTCTGGGTCCTTGCTGCTCACATTGTAACGACGGTTATTGAAGCGGTCCACACAAGTTCTAAGGGCACACTCCTCTGCCTGCAATAAACACAACTTACATTCAATTCATATGCATATGTATTATTACCATAAAACATTACTCAGCAGAGACAGTGACATGAAATAATCCCCTGCTGAAGAATCCACCAAACAGCCATGGCTAACAAGGTACTACCCCAGCATCTGCCTGAAGAGACTGAGAAAAACCACAAAAACCTCAGTCAAGATAGCTTGTATCCAGGCTGAGATATGAACCCAGGACCTCATAAATATGAATCAGGAATGCTAACCACTCAACCACAACACTCAGTCTCGGTTATAACACTTATGAATGTGTTTCTTATTGACTTTTTAATCAACAGTACATTCTTATTTTACACTGAACAATGTCAAATTATTTTACTCTATATTTCATTAAGAATATACCACAATGAAAATTGTTCCAAATAAAAGTTATCGGGTTTTAATATTGTAACAATATGTAATTTTTTGTATATCTAGATGTCTGAGACATTTGGTGAAGAACAATTTGAGTCATATAAAGAAGAGACTGTATGATAAATACAAATTAGAATGAAACCTGCCTGATCATTTTAAGTGTATCAAACTTCAGTTAAATTTCTTGATGTCAAACGTGAATGGACCGTACTTGAACTTGACATGAACTTCCCAATATGCATTCAGATGTCCTGAGGATAGGGACAGAGATGATCCCTGAAATGTTGGTGAGTTTTAACCATTTGATATGGCTGATAGTCTAAGAGGATGTTATTCTGTTCACTGTGAAAGTTATAGTTTATACGATGATAACAAATGTTGAGCAGTAAGGTTTAGAAAGCATACATAGCTATGTTTCTGCAAATTCTAGCTATTTCTTAATGTATTCACATTCAGTTGAGACAGAGACTTTCTTAAAATTACAAAATCCAGTGACATATGTTGCCATCAGGTAAAAATTAGGTTGGTATCTAGGTCATTTAATATCAAACAGAAAGTGATAATAATGATTATGGATAAATAAAAAAAACAAGGTGATACAAAGTGATTATAACCTACTTCAAGGTAATAACCCAGAATTTGCCGGGAGGGAGCTGAGTATAATCACAAATAATCTCTTGCAATATCTATTGCACCAGCCTGGATTATTAGAAATCAGTACTCCCTGAATATGACTTACACATGTTATTACTTGAGCCAACTTTCCCAGTAGCAGTCATAAAAAATTACAGAATATTTGAGTTATTATCAAGTCAAGAGACCCAGATCATCTTATCACAGTTGAAAATGAATCCTTCAAGAATTGCTTCAGGTGATAAAGACTTTCACAACATGACACAATATAATTTAAAATCACAACCAATTTTACTGCTATCTGGCATAGAATAACATTCTGAAATTTTCCACATGATTTTATTTACCTCTCAAACATGAGTAAATTTCTATGAGACTACATGGCACATGATCCCTGTAGACAGTCATCTTCATACTTCAACTATGAGAACCTGCAATCTCACTCATGAGGGACATATTCAGTAATTACATTATTACCTATTCAG